TACAGCTAGCACTGCCCATTAAAAAGATACCCTTTCATTCTTTCACTTTCTTCGCCTTTATCATCTTCCTTCTTTTTCTACCATTTTTCTCCATTCAAGCTCGCTTCCTGATCCTTATCTACTCCTTTTTTTGGCAACAAATTTTATCCTTCTTTGCTTGAGCAGTGAGCAGCAGCAACCAAATCCTACTATGTAAGGCTGGCTCCACATGATTTGGGTCACCAAATAAATTTCCATGTTGCCAGTGCCTGAGATGTGAGCAGTGGCAGTGAGCAGTGGCACGCCGGCACCGCAGCAGTCCAAAATCTTTCCCTCCCCTGCGGCAAATTTCTGAAAATCTCTTCTTCAATTTTTGTGAAAGTAAAATCGAGATTTCAAACGATTTTACGAAAAAATCGCGCTTTTACGTTTTTATCATCCGATTTTACGAAAACCTGATTTTAAAGTAGATTTTACTCGAAATCCATACATAACATCGTAAAATCTTATGATTTTACGATTTAAAACTCGAGTTTGGCAACACTGGATATATCAAATTTGTGATTAGTTAACTACATAAAGCAAAGAACTGAAAATCCAAGTTCCATACAGAACAAAAACACATCGAAAGAACCTATAATCAGCAGCCATGAAGAAGAGAAAGCAACAACATTTGGCTCATTATCTACATTGTATCTGTATATGCAAGGACAAATTAACATAAAATGTCCCATTTCCCATAAGTAGAAAGAAACCCCAGATGTAAATGGAAAGAAAACATACCCACTTCACAACTGCAAGCAATGCAAATGGGGAGAAGAGAGGTGAAAGAGAGGAAAAGGAAAGAAATGAAGATGAGGGCAAAGGTGGGACGAGAGCAGCAGCAGCTGTACTTCATTGTGTTTTTCGTTTCTGCTTTTCTAGTGGCCGTTGATCCCGGAGAATATATAGAGGGAAGAGGAGTGCTAGGGGGCACTTGCTTTTTGCACTCACCGGCTAATATCTCTTTTATTGGGCCACGTTATTTTGGTTACCGAGAGGTTGTGCCTGAAATCATTAAAGAAGCTTACGTGGCCCAATGAAAGGGGAAGTGTTGCCCGGAGAGTGCAAAAAGCGAGTGCCCCTAGCACTGCTCATAGAGGGAATGGAGACTGAAACTTCTTGTTTTTTACTAACCAAACCATAAGTTAGGAATTTCTACCAAAAAAACCAAAAATAACCCTTACAGTTAGGAATAAATGATAAGAAAGAAACCAAAATCTATTAAGGCGGCGGCCTTTATGGACGGAGTTTTTTTGACCTTCTTCCGTACATCATTATTTATGAGCTGATTGATGCACTCCAATTTGCCGCCTTATTTTCTAACGGCTGTCAATGGCAAATGGTAAGAGGTATTAAATATATTTTTTATGTATTAATTTATATAAAAAATAAAAAAATAACATTAATTGTAATATTTATGTTACTTAAAT